AGAAGAGAGAAAGAGAGAACAACATTCTTTGCTTCTTTTTTTTGTTGTTTTGTTCTTTTTGGAGTCATTCGAATAAACGCGCAAGAAAAGAATATAACAACGCACAAGAAAGTGATAACCCATACAAGTAATCATCAACATGTCTACACAAAGAAATTCGATGCATGTAAGTTACGATTCTAGTTTATATCAGCAACACTCAGTTCATTTTTCTGAAGCGTAAATTTTTCTAGCACATTCCAAGCCTAACCAATTTCCTCCTTCTTCAATTAACATTCTTAAATATGAAGGTGAAAAAAGACGACAACTTCGAAACCTATCGGCAATTATCCAAACCTATCCATTATGTCCTTCATTATGTTCTTCTCCAACCCAAAAATTTTCTCAGGCCCACAGCTAGGTGAAAAATATCCGACACAGCTCGGGATAAACTGACAACGCGATACTAACTCGAAGCAAACCCAGATCACTAGAGCCATACTATCAAGAGCAAAACAAATCATTGCGTAACTTTTGAAAATAATCATTCCGAAGAATCTACCGATGGAAAAAACCAATACCAAACAAAAATCTAATTCTCCTAAAACTCATTTCCATGCACCAATCCACAACAGTACAACGAAATGGATATTCAAAAGCAACCTGATAAGTTTCATCAATCCCACCGTAAAAAACTTAAATATTGCAAACTTTTTCGCTTCAAAATTGACAAATTAATTCAGTGCAGGGGCTCCCATCAATTTCAAACCTTCAAACATACATTTATGCAGCGTTAAAACTATCTGAGGATTGACCCTTGAGAAAGGTCGAAACTATAGTCGTAGCATTTCTTAAACATAATACACACCCAACAAGTAATATCAGTACTAAATCGTCTTCATTATGCTGAGCAATCCATGCTTACTAAAAGACAATATCAAGCAATGTATCCAAAAGAAGATCAAATAGAATTAGGTCATCTCTACTTTTTACCAAAACCACATAAAGTCTATATCTTTTATTGTAAAATCGGACAGCATTAACTTTAATTTCTATACTTTCTTTATAGATTGGTACACCATTACGACCTATTGTCGCTGCAATACATGGACCAGCTATATTAATATCAAAATATCTTGATGATTTACTTCGTCCAGTTTTCAAACGTATTGCAAGAAGAACAATTTATAATGATAGCTTGGATCTCGTGAAACAATTAGAACGATATGACAAAGATGGTCATTTAACTTCAACTACAAAATTTATAACAAGTGATGTAAAAAATCTTTATACTATGATACCAAGAGCTGGCGCATTAGACGCACTATATCGTTTTTACATGAAACATGCAACTCAAAAAAAGATTGGCAATTTAACTATAAATACTATCATTCGATTAGCATGTCTTGTTTAAGATACTAACTGCTTTGTTCTTGACAATAAATATTATAAAACCAATTCGTGGTGATGCTATGGGCTCACCATTTACAACGACATCAGTTAATATATATATGCATCAATGGAAACAATCATTAATTCAACATCAACAAGAAAGAAATGAACTTTATCGGCGGTAAATTCAATTCTAAAGAGGAAAGCAGTGTCTCTTACTATTAATTTCTTTTCAGTTATATTGATGATATATTTATGACTACCAAGGAATCCATTGAAGATATTAAAGTGCTACTTGATCAAGAAAATCAAAAAGATCCAAATATCCGTATTAATTATAGTGTTCATAAATCAGTAGAATTTCTTGATGTATATATTGAAAATATTCAAGGACATTTAAAAACTTCTGTTTTCCGTAAACCAGCTGCTGAACCATATATACTTTCATATACATCTGATCATCCACGTCATATTCATTCCAATACAATTTATACTGCCTTACTTCGTGCTATTTGTATTTGTTCAGATACTGAAACATTTGATCAAGAACGACTAAATATTGAAATTGCATTACTATTCAATGGATATCCACCAAAATTCATTAGACATCATTTCAAAAAATTCTTCAAAACTTACCATGCAACGTCTGTCTACAAAGATTTAAACGAAGAAATGCATAAAAAACTGCATCATGAACTGCTTTATGAAAGTGTATATGATGATCAAATATTACAATAAACGGAAGGGCAACAATTAGAAAACGAAAATCACATAGGACTAAAAACAAGAAAACAAAAGAAACAAAAGGAACTCATTATCCACTACCGATATGAAAGTGAACCGTTAAGAGCATTCGGCGATGCGTTCAGAAAACTATGGAAACAACATTTCGCTTATCACAATTCACCACTACAGGAAATTCGACTAACACTAGGCACACGAACCAACAAAACATTAGAACATCTACTGGTCAACAAAAAACCACACCACACTCTACTAACAAACACAGACTCCAAAATAACGACAACAATAATGTAAACCTCAAATAATGACAGTATCACCCATTTCTAAAGCATACTGCTGTTCATATTGTAATCAAATAAAATTGTTCCTCATAATAGCCAGTCTTTTTTCAGACAGATCTTCGATAACTTTCAATCATCATCATCATCACCTTTTTTTCTTTACCTCTTTTAGATGCGAATAAACCGATCTATCATTATAGCAACGCTAACAATAAAACAGCACCCACCAGCTAACATACAAGCAACAACCACGAGCAAGAAACAATTTCACTACGAAAACTATCATCGAAAAAACTTCTTCAAAAGCTCAAAGTATAGAAAAACCATCAATGAAATACATAAAACACTTTCGACTATACCGACAGAAAAATTTACAGTCATTTTCGGATAATAGCATAACACCATCACGTAAACGCACACATACAAAAATATCGTAAGGTACCATAAAAAATTTCATTATAAGCAAATATTGACTTGTATATTCGCCTTAAGATTACACTTAAGTTAATTTTAATTGGAAAATGTTACTTGTGCCAATGTCAACAACAAAATTAATTCTTATATTGAAATATGCAATTCAATATCATTATCATCACATACATATTAGACTTACATAATATAACTAAACAGAATATTAAGAATTCCACCTGATGAAGTCCCACTACGGACAGAAACAACGTTGTCGTGGATTGGCGATCATTCTATATCACACACCCACACTCACACCCATTTATTGTCGATTAGAAATGTACATACACTTGAACTTGTCAAAGAGTGACATGGACAATTTGTAACGTATCGCAATCTGTCACTTTGAGATACAGAAAACAAAAGAGAATTGGATGAGGTATTAAAATATGACCGATCCGTATTTTCCATATCAAAAACGCACATGACGAACAATGATTCTTCGATTTCTTTTTGCTATATACTCATCAAACTCTTATGTGCTAGCATTCTAAAAGATTGATCCTATTGAATCATGTGCCTAATCATACGAGCAGATAGCTAACATAGAAGAATAGGCATGAAGGTCTTAATTTGACTATCATCACGCTGGATGTCTGATTAATTTTGTCTTCTTCCATTCATAATCGGACGGTACTTCTACGTTGATTTTGACAGATTTCTCTGAATGGCATACTCGAAACGCGCTATCATCCAAAAATTTCTTCATCTTCCTTTTCGAAAGACTAAAAAAATATTAGTAATCAATTACAAAAAATTGTTTGAGAGTTTATTGGAGGTTTCAATTCTTATTGAAACTTTCATAGGGCTGCCACTATTTTGTAATTTGGTCAATATGCAGCTGCATTAGTTAATCGAGCTTACCTGATGATAGCCCCTAAGCAAGGCTGAAACCGGTCGTAAGATTGCTTGGTAATCTTATGAATAAGTTTAATTTTAAACACACCCACACCCACACCCTCAAATCTACTTATGACCTGTGTTACAGTACACTAGCGGAAGTTCAGCCTACGTAAATCTGTCTCACAATAAAGCCTGAATTCTTCATTGTACTTCACTAATACTCAAATTTTGGAGTACAACGACGCGTTTGGGCTTTATTGTGAGACAGACTTACGTAGGCTGAACTCCCGCTAGTGTACTGTAACACAGGTCGGTAGTAGATCTGACATAGGATGTGGGTGTAGATCAAGAGAAGACACAGCTGGAGTGACATCGACACCCACACCCTAACTTCCATAGTTGAATCGTTCACACAGATACTTGTCACTTGATAAAGTTCTAATAAAATCGAAATACTGCTGAGTATTGTGGTGGTTCAAGAAATCCACACTCAGCTCCAACTGCTACAATCAGTTACAACGAACCAGCTTATAGAAAAGAATACGATATCCCATACAAACAACTTTTCACTCTTTCAGCATGCCTCATAGAAACATGATAACAGTCAGCTATAATTTCCTCTACACATCGATTGGACTATACAAACTAATTGTAGTTTATCTATCTTCTGTACGATCATAATATCAGTCGAAAAGATGCATTTTATCTAATCATGTGACGAAATCTTAGAGCAAAGTCGAAACCAATCATGGTGTGCTTGGCCAAATTGAGCGCATTGTGGTAGTTTCTCTTGATATTTCTTGTCTTTGTATGAGATTTATTAATTCTCAGCGCACACCTTCATCCAAAAAAGAAGTTAGAAGAAATATTAGTAATACTAAGTAAAAGTTAGAAACAGTAATTCAATGAAAAAAATTCAAGTCAGTAATGGCAATATTAACAAGTCTGTAAGAAAATTTTTAGATTGTCAGCACCTTCATTGGCGACTGCGAAATCCAACTTTCCATCATTGTTCAAATCACCAACGGAAACTGAGAATGGAAGAGATCCATAGCCGACCGAAAAAATCTTCACATCTGCGAAGGAGCCATTTCCATATCCAAGCAGCACACCGACGTTGCTTGTGCCATAGTTGGTGACTATAATGTCTAGCAAGGTATCGTTGTTGAAATCGCCAACAGCAACCGCGTTCGGTTGAGAGTTGAAACCGGTTGAAAACGTTTTTTGGCTTGAAAACGAACCGTTACCCCATCCAAGAAATATACCAACAGTGTCATTGCCATGATTCGCGGTGACAACGTCAAGTATTGTATCGTTGTTGAAATCACCAACAGCTACCGCCAATGGACAGGAATCAGTTGGATATATAATTTGTTTTGCGAAAGAATTATTACCATATCTTAGAAAAATACCAACGTTGTTAGTGCCTGAATTTGCAACTGCAATATCTATTTGACTGTCATTGTTAAAATCCCCAATGGCGAATGACTTAGGACGAGATCCATTCCCAATTATGAGCTTCATTTGGCTTAGAAAACCTTGATTGGGATATCCGAGATATACACTAACAGTATCCTCATTGCTATTAGCGATGATGATATCCAGTCGGGTGTCATTATTAAAATCACCAACAGCTACAGATGAAGGACTAGTGCCAGTTGAATAGATCATTTGATTTGCAAAAAAGCCATTGCCATATCCAAGAAGGATACTCATAGTATTGTTATCCCAATTACCGACAACGATATCCAGTCGACTGTCATTATTAAAATCACCAACAGCTACAGCTTGTGCACCAGAGTCAGTTGAATATGTCGTTTGATTTGCAAAAGAGCCATTGCCATATCCTAGAAGGATACTTACAGTGTTGTCACCATAATTAGCAACGACGATATCCAGTCGAGTATCGTTATTAAAGTCACCAACAGCTATAGAGTATGGTTGAGAACCAGTTGAATATATTGTTTGATTCGCAAAAGAACCATTTCCATGCCCTAGAAGGACACTTACAGTTTTATCATCATTGTTAGCGACAACAATATCCAGATGGGTGTCATTGTTGAAGTCACCAACAGTTGCAGGCCATGGTTTATAGCCAGTTGGATATTTCGTTTGATTTGCAAAAGAACCATTTCCATATCCCAGAAGGATACTTACAGTGTTGTCACCCTGATTAGCAACGACGATATCCAGTCGGACATCGTTGTTAAAATCACCAACAGCTATAGACCGTGGTTGATAGCCAGTTGAATATATCGCTTGATTTGCAAAAAAGCCATTCCCGTATCCCAGAAGTACACCTACAGTGTTGTCACCAGAATTAGCGACGACGATATCCAGATGGGTGTCGTTATTAAAATCATCAATAGCTACAGCCCATGGTGAGGAGCCAGTTGAATATATCGTTTGAGTTGCAAATGAGCCATTTCCATATCCGAGAAGGACACTTATAGTGTTGCCCCCTCGGTTAACGGCGACGACATCCAGTCGGATATCGTTATTAAAATCACCAATAGCTACAGCCCTTGGCCAAATGCCAGTAGAATATGTCATTTGAGGAGTGAAAGATCCGACGTCATATGTAACAAACACATCTACATGATCAATGCCATCATATGTGACAAGAATTTCTGAACGTCCATCTTTGTTGACACTACCAGCACCAACTACCAATGGAGCAAAATCGAAATTTATACCATAACTCCCTCGATTTTCAAATGTCCCGTTCCCACTTCCCAGAAATGTGACAAGATTTTTAGTATTATAATTGGCCACGACTATATCCGCTTGACCATCTTTATTAAAATCATCGATAGCGATTGAATCAGGATGAGAATTTAAGCCCGTTGAGAGCACCATTTGGTTTCCAAAAGTGCCATTCCCATGTCCGAGAAGAATACCTATGTTATTAGTACCATAATTGATCACGACGATGTCCAATAGGCTATCGTTATTGAAATCAAAAATGGCAAAGCTTCGCAAACGAGAACCATCGACAGATGCAAATGTGATTTTGTCTTTCAGAGCTCCTCTATCATACCGAAGTAGTATACTCACAGTGTCGTCATTCAAATTAGCAACGACAATATCCTGTCGAGTGTCATTGTTAAAATCACCAATAGCCATAGAGTCTGGGCCAGAGCCAGTTGAATATGTCGTTTGATTTGCAAATGAGCCATTGCTATATCCGAGAAGCACACTTACAGTGTTATCACCAAAATTAGCGACGACGATATCCTGTCGAGTGTCGTTGTTAAAATCACCAAGAGCTACAGATGGTGCAGTGCCAGTTGAATATTTCGTTTGATTTGCAAAAGAGCCATTGCTATATCCGAAAAATACACTTACAGTGTTGTCCGCATCATTAGCAACGACAATATCCAGATGGGTGTCATTGTTAAAATCACCAACAGCTACAGAGCGTGGATTAGGGCCAGTTGAATATTTTGTTTGATTTGCAAAAGAGCCATTTCCATATCCGAGAAGTACACTTACAGTGTTGTCATCAAAATTAGCAACGACGATATCCTGTCGAGTGTCATTATTAAAATCACCAACAGCTACAGCTTGTGCACCAGAGCCAGTTGAATATATCGTTTGATTTGCAAAAGAGCCATTGCCATATCCGAGAAGGACACTTACAGTGTTGTCCCGATAATTAGCAACGATGATATCCAGTCGGTTGTCGTTATTTAAATCACCGACAGCTACAGAGCTTGGATTAGAGCCAGTTGAATAGTTCGTTTGATTTGCAAAAGAACCGTTTCCATGTCCGAGAAGTACACTTATATTATTGTCATCTCTATTAGCAACGACGGTATCCAGTCGGGTGTCGTTGTTAAAATCACCAACAGCTACAGACCATGGTTTAGAGCCAGTTGAATATTTCGTTTGATTTGCAAAAGAACCATTTCCATGTCCGAGAAGTACACTTATATTGTTGTTATCTCTATTAGCGACGACGATATCCAGATGGGTGTCGTTATTAAAATCACCAACAGCTACAGAGTGTGGCGCAGTGCCAGTTGAATATATCGTTTGAATGGGAAAAAACTCGTCATAACCAAGCATGATACTTATAGTGCTCGTATCATTATTGATGACAGCAATGTCTGACCGACTATCTCTGTTTAAATCACCTATGGCCACCGAGATGGACGAAGAAGATCCAGTTGAATACATTTTAGGGCTTATAAAGGTGCCGTTGCCATATCCGACAAGTAGAGCTATATTGTCAGTGCCATTATTGGTGATGACTAAATCCATTCGATTGTCATTGTTGAAGTCACCAATACCAATAGAATATGGAGAAGCAGCCTCAAGCGAATATGTCATCTGTCTCATAAAAGTCCCATTACCGTGACCCAGAAGTACGCCTACACTGTTATTTCCATAGTTGGTGACGGCAATATCTAGCATCGTGTCTTCGTTTAAATGACCAACGACAAGCGAGGATGGATGGGAATTAGGACCAGTTGAAAACGTGATTTGATTCGTGAAAGTACTGTTACTAGTTCCAAAGAGTATACCAACATTGTTTGTACCATAATTGGCGATAGCAAGATCCATCTGTTTGTCGTTGTTGAAATCGCCACTGACAACTGCAAACGGAAAAGAGTCATAGCCCGTAGAGTGCGTGCTTGGATTTGAAAAGCTTCCATTTCTATATCCATAAAATATGCTTACACTGTGTGTGCCGTAGTTAGCAGTGACAATATCTAGTGCTGCATCATTGTTGAGATCTGCTACATGGATCCAAATGGGACGAGATGATGCACCTGAAAGCACTGTTTGGCTCATAAAAGTCCCATTTTGGAATCTAAGGAGCATACTGACGCTGTTTGTACCGAAATTTGCGACGGCAAGATCCAGTCGATGATCATTGTCGAAATCACCAACAGCAACCATGCACGGAGCAGAGTCAAGGCCGATGGAATATATGACTGGGCTTGTCACAGTGCCATCGCCATATCCAAAATAGATAACTATATTGTCAGCAACATAATCGGCAACAACAATATCTAGCCAAGTATCGTTGTTGAAGTCCCCCATGACGACAGATCGTGGACTACTCTTATAGTCAATTGGATCTCGGATCGTTGCTTTAAAGTTAAGTTTACATTTTGGAACTAAGTAACACAACAACAAAGAAATAAAGACTGATCAGCTACTAGGGTTTAACTATTCCTAGTGAATTGTATCAATCCGGATGCAAACCAGTGCTTTTCAAAAGAACCTCATTGAGTCTCGCGGAAGTCATCAGTCAGATTACTCATTGTCTGCTCTCTTTCATTTATTTGAAAATTCGTTCACGAAGCGTATAGTGACTGTCAAACAACGACATCGCAACTAATATGATTTAAGTAAGGACTATAGACTGATCCTAACTATATGATCAAAACCACTATCACCTCTATCTTACAGGTTCGTCTATGACATGCCATCGAGCACTCATATAGCGTAATGGAAAAAAATTCTAAAGTGTTTCAAAATCAAAAGAATGCTAATGACGTTGCGTTGCAACAATCCTCTAATTGCATCATGAATGTTTTTCACTTGTATATGGGAATATACAATGGATAGTTC